GGAGGAGGAGGAGGAGCAGGAGGAGGAGGAGGAGGAGGAGGAGGAGGAGGAGGAGGAGGAGGAGGAGGACCAGTATAAACCCAAGACGCTCCAACGATGTTGCAATAAGCTCTGCTTCCAAGTTTCCTTTTCACAGGTCCTTACAAGACTTGCTCATTGCGGGAACCGCTCCAGGGGAGTACATCCGCCTGAGAATCCTTAATTGTGCCTAAGCATTATTTCTGGCATTTCACCGCGGCGAATCAATTCAACTGTTGCTTGCTGCTAGTCCCGAAACTCGCCAGAGTGCAATTCCTGGGGCTACAACACAGCGAATCAATGTGATAGCTGCGTCCTGACAGTTCTCATTCGTGCCAGACACCACCCCTGGGACTCATGCGTACGAATCCGTGAAGCTGCTGCAAACTTTTCAGACGCGGCGATTAGGCGAGAGCCACATTTGGAACAGGATCCGCCTACGAATGATCGCGATGCTAAAGGGAGAGCCACAGTTCGAAAAGGATCCGCCTTATAGCCGTGAGTATGTGGCAACCTTTCGGCACGCATGTGCGCGGCGCTAAGGGTAGAGCCACATTTTGAAAACGGCCCGACCTGCATCCTCGAAGCTGTTGCACATTTCAAGCTTCAGGATCATGAGTGGTGAGGAAGGCTCAGGCGTAACGCCGCGCCCGACCTGCTGACACGTTTGTGGGTGCGACCCGGAGGAGTCATTTAGAAGGAAAGAGAAGGAGGAGGACGAGGCTGAGGATGAGAATACGGACTATAAGGAGTAGGATCGAGATGATGACTACGAAGAAGGATGATGAGACGTGTTTTTCTCTGTCGCCCTGTTTCTGTTCTGTTACGTTCACCAGGTTTGATTTGTTGGCCACTTTGCCTACAGCAATTATTTGCCTATTGTTGCTGCATCATATGTACGAGCTTCGTCAAAAGGAGGATGACGAGGAGTAGGTGGAGGAGGAAGAGGAGGAGGTGGCAGAAGGAGCAGGAGGAGCAGGAGGAGGAGGAGGTGGAGGAGGAGGAGGAGCAGGAGGAGGAGGAGGAGGAAGAGGAGGAGGAGGAGACGGAGGAGGAGCAGGAGGAGTGGAGCAGAGCTGGGAAGCGGGGGGAGCACAGAGAGAGAGGGAGAGAGAGAGAGAAGACAGAGAGAGAGAGAGAGAGAAACATGTTTGTACTCTCTCTCCATATATAGAGAGAGAGAGACAGAGAGCGAGAGAGAGAGAGAGAGAGAGCGAGAGAGAGAGAGAGAGAGAGAAAGCGAGAGAGACTAATCCATTTTTTGGAGAGAGAGAGAGAGAGAGAGAGAGAGGGAGAGAGAGAGAGAGAGAGAGAGAGAGAAAAAAAGAGAAAGAGAGCGATAGAGAGAGAGAGAGAGAGAGAGAGACAAAGGAGGAAGAAAGAGAGATATCAACACACATTGACCGCGAGGTTTGTCGGCGGGCTTCGCCCCGTCTGTACCTCCAGGAGGCTTTTCGTGGCTGCGGTTGGGTTCCGTTTTGAATGCTGGCCACGTCCCCCCGGGGACAATTCCAGGGGATGCTTCGAAGGGGGAGGAAGATGAGGAGGGATGGATGGAGAGAACGGGGGAAAGGATTGGATGGAGGGAGAGAAGGGGCATGGAGGGAGGGAGAAGGGATAATTGATGGAGGAAACAAGAGGGCGTAGGGGGGACCAAGGAGGAGGAGGAGGAGGGCGAGGGAGGTGTAAGGGTCGGAGGGGAAGGGGGGGGGGGGGGTAGGATGATGATGAGGAGGAGGAGGGTTGGTATGATGATGATGGCGATGGTGATGGTGATGATGATGATGCTGCTGCTGATGCTGATGATGATGATGGCGATGCTGATGCTGATGCAGATGCTGATGCTGATGCTGATGATGATGATGCTGATGATGATGATGCCGACGACGACAATGATGACGATGATGGTGATGCTGCTGATGATGATGATGATGCTTATGCTGATGATGCTGATGATGCTGATGATGCTGGTAATGATGCTCATGATGATGCTGATGCTGATGCCGAGGATGCTCGAGATGATGCTGACGAGGGTGGTGATGTTGTTTATAAGTATGGTGATGCTTATGACGATGGCGATGTCAGCGATGAAGATGGTCGACGGTGTTGATGCTGCTGCTGATGATGCTGATGCTGATGCTGATGCTGGTGATGGTGATGGCGATTGTGATGGTGATGATGGTGGTGGTGATGATGATGATGATGATGCTGATGCTGGTGCTGCTGCTGCTGCTGCTGCTGATGATGATGATGATGATGATGATGATGATGATGATGATGATGATGATGATTACGGTCATGCTGATGGGCGATGGCATTGACTACGGCGATGATGTCGACACATGTGGCGATGATGACGATATTTGAGAAGATGGGCATGATCACGATTCTGTCTGACTATGATGATGCGGTTATTGTTAGGAGTAGGTTGGAGGACAGCGAGGAGGATAACAGGAACGATGATACAGATGCGAGGAGATGACGAGAGTATCCTGGGTATTGAAAACGCCGCTTCTCGAGAGGAGCAGGTTCTCCCAGGCAGTGCTTGCACTTCTGTGGGGGCCTGGGTTGTGCTTCTGGGTGATGGGACGGGTTGGGCCCGGGCTCCGTCGCATCCCCGGCCAGGGGCGCCTCGTGGTCGCCCTCGTGCGGTGGCCGCCCGGGCCCCGGGTGCCGCCGCGTGCCCGGCCGTGGTCGAGTGCGCGTGCACGAGAGTGGCCCTGCGCCGGAGCGACCTGTGGTGCGGGCCCCTCGGCGGCCCCCCCGATCGCCGAGGGCGCGCGCGGGTTTGGCCCCCTCGCGCCCTCCGGGAGCCGCGCACCAGGGGTCGCTCTTGCCCAGGGGCGACGGGCTTGTTTTCCACCACCACCACCACCAGAAATTGGAGGAGGGAAGGAGGAGGAGGACGAGGAGGAGGACGAGGAGGAGGAGGAGGAGGAGGAGGAGGAGGAGGAGGAGGAGGAGGAGGAGGAGGAGGAGGAGGAGGACCCCCTCCCCCTCCTACTCATGGTGGCGGTGGAAAACAGGCCCATCAACGGCCACTCTTGCGTGCAGCCCACGCGGGGTGCCTCGTGTGCGCCCCGTGCGAGCTGACCGGGTGGGCCCGGGGTCCCGTGCGGTGCCCGCCCCCCTCTGGGCGCCGCATGTGGGCGCGCCGTGTGCGCTGGCGGGGCGGGCCCCCCGGGGGGTCTCGCGGCCCGCGGGGTCCCGAAGGTGCCTCGTGCGCTGGGTGCCGCGGCGATTGCGCCGCGTCTCCGCGCGGATCGAAGCGTCCACCAGCGCCCTCCGGGGACGCGCAGGCTGCGCGAGCCCGCCTCCCGCCAAAAGGTCAGTGGGGGGGGGGGGCACGGGCTGCACGTGCCCGCCCCCCCCCCCCACCCCCCAGGGGCCTTCGGGGGGGGGGGGAGCACGGGCCTGCCCCCGAGGGAGCTCGCCGATCGAGGAGGCGCGGCCCAGGCGATCGCAAGCATGGATCAATGGGGGCGTGGAGTAGCGACGGGTCCCGTTTCCATGGGAGATCGCGGATTTCCGCCGCCGAGCGAGGCGGCGCCGGCCGCACTTTGGGGAGGGCACCTCCCCCGATCCATGGATTTGGCGACCTCGCACCAAATCCATGGATCGCTAGTCCATGCTTGCGCGTCCCCGATCGATTGTGTCGCATCTATTCCTTGTCTTCGCCTGCCGAAGAGTTCAGACTTTGCCCTCCTGCCGAGGCTGGACTTTATATGCTTCTGCCTCCGCGTATTCACGAGATCGCGAGCAGTTTCATCCTGGCCAGACCGGTCTCGATTCCCCCCCGCCATCGTCCGCAAATAGAAATGTGCTGTGCACATGCGATCATACATTACGTGCTTTCTATGATCATCCCTTTCGGCACGTACGATGTTGGTCACATGCGCGTGCTGCAGCGCGCTTATGTCAAAGTCATTCAACAACCCTTGGCTTCTGGGCATTCCAAGACATGGCTAGCCAACGACTATCACACGCCGTGTGCTTTTCGTTCACACAGTTGCCGGAACTCTGCGCGCGCATGTGTTGATGTTGCAACCTGGCCTTTGTCTGCCATTCTTGCAACCGAGGAGACCACGCGGGCCACACGTGTGCGCCTGCTGGAAAAGCTCCACAGATACGGTACGCCTGCCAGATCTGGCAACTCATGCAGTGATGGCCACACGCGCGCTTTTCCGCGCGCGCACGTTGGAATCCTATTCAAACAGCTTTTTCCTAAGCGTGTCAACGCACATGTGCTCGAATGCCTACGGCAGCCAGTTGAGGTTACTTCGTGTCTGTGGGGGCGCACTTCCTCTTCATCCTAATCAGCTCAACCGTTATCATCGTGGTCAATCATCATTGCTATTGTCATCGTCGTCATCAGCATTATCACCCTTCTTCGTCATCACCATTGCCGCCGTCATCATCGTCATCGTCGATGTCGTCGCCCTCATCAAATTTCTGCACGCGCGCACCTCCACCAGCATCATCGTTATCATCATCGCCAGCGTCATCGTTGCCACCGTCATTATCATCACCAGCACCTTCATCACCATCATCATCGTCCTCATCGTCATCATTGTCTCCACCGTCGTCATTAACACCTCCATCGTCATCGCCATCTTCGTTGTTGCTGTCTAGTTCCATTTTGCCAACGCGTTGAGGGTGGGTGGCTGGGATACTTGCACTATCATTGCGGGTGGCAGCGCGCGGATGAGGTCAACATCGATGGCACCATATCGAATGCACCACGCATGTGCACAACATCTACTGCAGTACGTACAGACTGCACCACACAGATCGCACCACATATACTGTACATCTAGAGTGCAGGTACCTACTTCTTGGGATCCACGCTGGCCAACATGAATACTATCCGCCGTCTTACGCGGGCGGTCGGGTGAGGATGAGTGGGAGTAGGAGGAGGAGCAGGAGGTGCGGAAAAGGGAGCGCAACCTAGTCATGAGGAGAGGGGGGGGGTAACGAGTTGGGGGAATGAGGGGAAGGAGAACATAGGAGGAGCAGCCCTGATGATGAGGGGTCATGTGAGTGAGGGAAGGACGGAGGGAGAGAGTGAGGGAGTGCGGGAAGGAGGGAGGAAGGGAGGGAGGAGGAGGAGGAGGAGGATAAACACGAGGGTGAGGAGCGTGCAGGATCTGGCACATGGCCGACGCCGACGGCGACGGAAGATTGTCGGAGCCAGAGTTCGTGTACGCAGTGGTGCTGGCAAGGCGTCATCTCTATTCACCCTCCTTCAGTAAACCGTTCATTGTCATCGCTTCTCCTGCTCCTCTTTCCTCATCCTTTCTTCACCCTTTTCCTCCTCGCTACTTCTTTCCTCCTGCTCTTCCTCTTCCTCCTCCTCTTTTCTCGTCGTCGCGCCATTCTCTGTCTCCTCGTCTCCCTCCTCCTCCTCCTCCTCCTCCTCCTCCTCCTTTCCCCTTTTCATTCATCCTCGTTCCCTGCTCCTCCTCCTTCTCCTCCTCCTCCTCCTCATCTCTCCTTCCTTTACTTGCACCCCCCTTAGCTTTTCAATGCCGAGCGCGCTCATTGAATTCGCGATGTCGGGTGGGGGGGGAATCGTGTACGGTGTTGAACGAGGGCGCGCGCACGTGCACATTGTCATAGTGACGCAATCCGCCACGCCGGTGCGCAAGTGGTTGTACAGCACCGACGCGTGTGGGGCGCGAGTGCCCCAGCAGTGGGCCAACTTGTGGGACACTTATGGACACGCAGTAGAAACAGCTGCAGGACGGCTCGCACCCACGCGGGAGGACCGCGAGTGGTGGGACCGTACATGGACATTATATTCGAACCCTGTGGCCCAAGATGCCCCCCCCGAACCCCCGAATTTAATATTGATGGCGTGGCGACGGGGGGGGCGTGAGTGGACAGAAATATTCGAACCCCAAAGCACCGCCTTTGCTGAGATCAACATTGATGTCGGGGGCGCGGGGGTGATTCAGAATCTCCCTCGAATGTGTGAGGGTTCGAATATATTGTCCATCTACTGGAGCACCTGTGAGCGCACAGGCGAGTAAGTAGCTCGCAGGCGCTCTCGCGAGCCCATAATTTCACAAGTGGGCGCACCCTAGAACCACGTGTGGGCGATCATCGAGAGAGCATTGTCGAAGACGCCCACGGCGATTCACCGCCGCCTCCTGTCTTTTGGAATGGCCCATATGGCCGAGCGTTGTGGCAATAGCTCTGCCAAGCTATCGGACCATGTGTTCCCCCAGCCGTTGTGGAAACCCTTCGGGGAACACTTGGGGGAGGATGGCGGGGAAGACCAGGAGAAGGAGAAGGAGGAGGAGGAGGAGGAGGAGGAGGAGGAGGAGGACGAGGAGGAGGAGGGGGACAAGGAGGAGGAGGAGGAGGAGTAAGAGGAGGAGGATGAGGCGGAGAGGGCATCTTGGGAACCTCTTGGGGCACTTTTGGGGCCTCCTGGGAGCTTCCTTGGAGCCTCTTGGAGGCATCTTGGGGGCCTCCTTGGACCTCTTAGGGGCCTTTGGGTGCTTCTCGGGGGTCGTCTTGGGGCATTCTTGGTCCGTCTGACGCAGTCGGAAGCCGTCTTGGGGGCCTCTCTGGGCCAGCTTGGGGCCCTCTTGGGGTGCTCCAGGGCCGTCTTGGAGGCCATCTTGGGCGTCTTGGAGGCCTCCTGGGCCGTCTTGGGGCCGTCTTGGGGGCCTCCTTGGGCCGTCATGGGGTCATGTTGGAGGCCTCTTGAGCAATCTTGGGGCGATCTTTGGGGGCTCTTGGGCCGTCTCGGGCCGTCGGATGGCCGAAACTACGCAAATGCGACAATCCTTCAAACACCTATGGACAATCAATGGTTTTGGCCTCTTCGGGCCTTCCTGGAGGCCCTCTTGGAGGCGGTCTTGACATCTTGGGGGCCTCTTGGGCCGTCTTGGACCATCTTGGAGCCATCTTGGGCCGTCTTGGTGACCTCGTGGCCCGTCTGACGCCGTCGGAAGCAGTCTTGGGGGCCTCTCTGGGCCGACTTGGGGCCCTCTTCGGGTGCTCCAGGGCCGTCTTGGAGGCCATCTTGCGATCACGGGGCGATCTTTTGGGGCTCTTGGGCCGTCTCGGGGCATCGGACGGCCGAAACTACGCAAATGCGACAATCCATCAAACACCTACGGAACATCAATGAACTTGTTCCAAACCATTATGTGGTGTTGGGTCCTCGTTTTGAAGAGGCGGTCTTCGCGTTCCTGTCCTCTCCTCTCCTTTCCTCCTCCTCCCCTTCTCCTCCCTCCTCCCGTCACCCCCCTCACTTTGGCACACCACTCACACGTTTCGTTGCCCCATAGGGAGCTCCACCGAAGGTCCCAGTGGGGGTGCCCGCATGCGTCCGCCACACCCAGTACAGCGTTTCGTGGCCCCATAGGGAGCTCCACCGAAGGCCCCAGTGGGGGTGCCCGCATGCGTCCGCCACACCCAGTACAGCGCTTCGTGGCCCCACAGGGAGCTCCACCGAAAGCCCCAGTGGGGGTGCCTGCATTGCGTCCTCCACGCCCAGTACAGCGCTTCGTGGCCCCATAGGGAGCTCCAGCGAAGGTCCTAGTGGGACCGCGCGCATGCGTCCGCAATACCCAGTACAGCGTTTCGTGGCCCCATAGGGAGCTCCACCGAAGGCCCCAGTGGCACCGCCCGCGTGCGTCTCCACAGCCAACTACAGCGCGTCGTGGCCCCACAGGGAGCTCCACCGAAGGCCCCGGTGGGACCGCCCGCATGCGTCCGCCACACCCAGTACAGCGTGTCGTGGTCCCATAGAGAGCTCCACCGAAGGCCCCAGTGGGGTGCCCGCATGCGTCCGCCACACCCAGTGCAGCGTTCGTGGCCCCATAGGGAGCTCCACCGAAGGCATCAATGGGGGTGCCCGTATGCGTCCGCCACACCCAGTACAGCGTTTCGCGGCCCCATAGGGAGCTCCACCGAAGGCCCGAGTGGGGGTGTCCGCATGCGTCCTCCACACCGCCTACAGCGTTTCGTGTCCCCGCAAGGAGCTCCACCGAAGGCCCCCGTGGGGGTGCAAGATGCGTCCGCCACACCCAGTACAGCGTCTCGTGGCCCCGTGGGGAGCTGCACCGAAGGCCCCAGTGGCACCGCCTTCATGCGTCCGCCACACCCAGTACAGCGTTTCGTGGCCCCATAGGGAGCTCCACCGACGGCTCCAGTGGCACCGCCCGCATGCGTCCGCCACACCCAGTACAGCGTTTCGCGGCCCCATAGGGAGCTCCATCGAAGGCCCTAGTGGGGGTGCCCGCATGCGTCCGCCACACCCACTACAGCGCTTCGTGGCCCCATAAAAGGGGGATTCACCGAAGCCCCAGTGGGGGTGCCCGCATGCGTCCTCCACACCCAGTACAGCGCTTCGTGGCCCCATAGGGAGCTCCACCGAAGGCCCCAGCGGGGGTGCCCGCATGCGTCCGCCCCCACTCAGTACAGCGCTGCGCGACTCCATAGGGAGCTCCACCGAGGGCACCAGTGGCACCTCTGCGTCCCCCCACCCAGTACAGCGTTTCTTGGCCTCATAGGGACCTCCAGCGAAGGTCCCAGTGGGACCGCGCGCATGCGTCCGCCATACCTGGTACAGCGTTCCGTGGCCTCATATGGGGGCTCCACCGAAGGCCCCAGGGGCACCGCCCGCATGCGTCTCCACAGCCAACTGCAGCGCGTCGTGGCCCACAGGGAGCTCCACCGAAGGCCCCAGTGGAACCGCCTGCACGCGTCCGGCACACCCATTACGGCACGCCCCATTATGCGTTGCGTGGCCCACCGGAAGCGGGAACCTCAACGCGTTATTCACAATTACATATGGTTGGGTCCTTCGCGTGGATACGTTTTGTTGAGCCTTCAAGGCCTGGAAGATTTGGCAATGTAGGGTCCGGCCCCTAAAACAACTTCGGGATTGAGGACTGCGGCTCCAGGGCTCCAGGGAATCGAACAAGGGACCTGAGGACACTCCAACTCGTAACTCAAGGGCACAGTGGCGGATAACCAATATAGAGCGTGGGGACATCGTTTTGGCGTAAGCGTTTATCCCGCCTAGAACATCCCTTCTGAGCTTGACTGGCGAGATGAGGCTCAAGAGTGCTAAGAGAGGCCGCCAAGATGACACTCACCACATGGCCTGGAAGAGCTTTTGCCAGAGTGTCTGTCTGACCAGCCGCCGCGAGAGTGCGCGAATCACGCTGCCCGTTCAGATATTACTTGGGTAAATAACGACTGGCGCCCAGTCGTCGGCTCAGAGTTTATACTCCAGACTGGTACGATCCGATGGCAGTCTATCAATTTCTGACAGCCTGGGCATATATTTGGGACTACGGGAAGGTATGTTCGCTTTCCTCGCGGGGGGAATGTTTGCGCGATCGACAGCAGGGGGAATGTTTGCGCGATTCGTGGGCGATCGAAAGAGTGTTCTGCAAGCCCGATCGCCCTTCATCGCCACTTGTGTTGAATCAGCACGAATGGAGCGGTGTAGGCTGCACCGCGGACATGTGCGTGTTGCCGCTGCTTGTGCCAACGTGAAGAGCAGCGCCACCACGGACTCGCGAGGCAGATGCGCGCAGCTTGGCTCATGGTCAACGCATGCACATCATCCCATACATGTCGGGAGATCCTGAACCACGCGTCAATCACCGTATTTCCTGGCCAGGTCTACTGGGCCTCGTGAGATCCTCAATCTTGAGACTATGGAGTTCAATATTGAAGGTCAAAGTTGATCTTTTCCACACAGTGAGCCTGAACTTCAATATTGAGCGCGGTCTGTGGGTCGTGCTAACAAATAACCTTCGACTTAGATTCATGCCCGAATGTATCTCTTGAGCGAGCCCCATCTGGGTGGCCACCTTTGTTTCTCCCTGTCTCCTCCATTCCTCCTGCTCCTCCTCCCACTCCTTTTCCTATGCCTTTCTCTCCACCCTTATCTTCTTATTATCATCCCTATCCAGCTCTTCCTGTTCCATTTTTTCTTATGAGTACTGTCTGTCGTGTCTCTTCCGTTCCTGTCTTTTCATTGGTCACTGTCTCTGTTCTTCAGGTCTGCCTCTCTCTATGTATGTATGTATGTATGTATGTATGTATGTATGTACGTACGCATGTATGTATGTATGTATGCATGTATGTGTGTGTATGTATGCATGCATGCATGCATGCATGCATGCATGTGCATGTATGTATGTATGTATGTATGTATGTAGGTAGGTAGGTATGTATGTATGTATGTATGTATGTATGCATGCATGTATGTATGTATGTATGTATGTGTGCATGCATGCATGCATGCATGCATGCATGCATGTATGTATGTATGTATGTATGTATGTATGTATGTAATGTAATGTAATGTAATGTAATGTAATGTAATGTAATGTATGTATGTATGTGTGTATGTATGCATGTATGTATGTATGTATGTATGTATGTATGTATGTACGTATGTATGTATGTATGTATGTATGTATGTATGCATGTATATATATATATATATATATATATCATATTCGTGCCAGTTTTCGCCGTCTTCTCCATATCCTCTTCCGTCTTCATCTGCGCTGATGGTCAGTCTTTAGATCTTTTCATGTGTGGGTCTCAGTATTCGTGTCTCTGGGCCTGTGCGTCTCCGTATCTGTGTGTCCGTGTGTGCGTGTGTGCGTGTGTGCGTGTGTGCGTGTGTGCGTGTGTGCGTGTGCGTGTGCGTGTGCGTGTGCGTGTGCGTGTGTGTGTGTGTGTGGTGTTTGTGTGTGTGTGTGTGTGTGCGTTTTGTGTGGTGTGTGTGTGTGTGTGTGTGGAATGTGTGTGTGGTGTGTGTGTGTGAGAATGTGTGTGTGTGTGTGTGTGTGCATGTGTGTGCGTGCGTGTGTGTGTGCGTGTGTGTGTGTGTGCCTCTATGTCTCTGTGCCTCTGAGTCTCCCTCTCTCTGCCCCCCTCTGCCTCTCTGCCTGCCTGCCTGCCCGTCCGCCCGCCCGCCTCTCTGCCCAGCCGTGCCTTCTCGCACCGCCCCGCCCCTGCCCTGCCCGCCCGTGCCGCTCGGCAGGCGACGGCAGCAGGGGGCCCCGCTGCCCCCGGCCCTGCCCCCCGAGCTCGCCGCGGCCGTCGCCGGCGCCGCCCCGTCCCCGTGAGGGGCGCCGCGCGCGCCGCGCCGCGCGCTCCGCCCGGCCCCCCTGCCCGGCTTGATTCCCTGGCCTCGGCTCACAACAACAGCATACACCCGCCCCCCCTCCTCCTCCTCCTCCTCCTCCTCCTCCTTCCTCCTCCCTCCTCCCTCCTCTCCCATCCCCCTCCTCCCCCCTCCCCCTCCTCCTCCTTCTCCTCCTCCTCCTCTCCTCCTGCCCCTCCTTCCTCCCTCCCTCCTTCCCTACCTCCGTCGTGCTTGTCACAGCGGCGATCGGTCTTTCTACAGGTGTGGGGTGGCCGATTGCCACCAGGCGTGCAAATTTATCGGTGCCCACAGCTCGCCCGTGTATGTCGACCGCGGTTCCAGAAAAGACCACGGCGGTCTGACTGACTGCCGCGCCTCAAGTCTCTGCGGCTCCTGTACCCTGGACCCGTGGCACCCTGGACCACCGCGGCCCTGAGGCACTCGCTCCTGCTACCTGTACGATGGCACAACGTTGCTCTTCGTCTCAGCGTCGCTCTCCTCGCTCTCCCTGATCCCTGACGCAGCTTGGTTGCAAGGCGCGTCACCTCTCGCCGCCAACTCGAGGCTGGTGTAAATGATGAGCCGTTGACGGCAGCACCAACCACAGCACTTTACTTCAACCGGTACTCCGCCACCGGGTTCATGGAAAAGGCGCTCCTTTGCAAGTACGTCGACTACGGCACCGCCTGATCCCGAGGCTTTGCCTCCTCCCGGCCTCGTTATGAGGCTGCGCCCCTCTTTTCCTCCCCCATCCCTGGTTAATTCAAGCTTCGCGCGGCCCGCTTAGCTTCGACCGGGAGAGGTGCGCTCTCGACCCGCGAATCAAAAAAACTGTTTGCACAGGTGGTTCCCCCCCACTTGCTGGGCTTCGCGCGCACTGCGGCTGCTGGCCCCGCCCCTGGGTGCATCGTGATGCCGCCCCGCGACGGCTGCCAGGGGCTGCCCTTCAGCCCGGCCGCCCCCGCCCAGTCGGCGCAGCCCCGCTGCGTGGGAGTGCCCCCGCGCCCGGTTCCCACCTCCACGGCCGCCCCCCTTGCTCTCTCCCTTTTCTCCCGCATGCGCGTTGATTCGCGATTCCGTGCCCCAGTCTCGCTCGTGCGCGCGTGCGGATTGCCATTGACGCGCTGCGACGTAACATTTGCACAGGTGAGGGTGTCCTGCGTTGCCCTCTTCGGCTCCAAAAGCGCTGTGCGCGACGGAGCGCCCGCAGGGCCGCCCCGCCTGCGCCCCCCACCCCCGCCCAGCGTCTTTGCCCCCTTCGCCCCCACAGGTGATTTCTGCCTCCTCCTGCTCCTCCTCCTCCTCCTCCTCCTCCTCCTCCTCCTCCTCCTCCTCGTCGTCCTCTTCCTGTTCCTTCTCTGCCTCCTCCTCCTTCTCCTCCTCCTCCCGTTCCTCCTCCTCCTCCCTTCCTGCTTCTCCTCCTCCTCCTCCTCGTCCTCCTCTGCCCCCTCCTGTGCCTTCGTCCTCGCTCTCCTCCGCCTCCTCTCCTCCTCCTCCTCCTCCTCGCCTCCTCCCTTCCTCCTCTTCTCACTATCCCCCTCACTCCCTCCCCCCCCCCCCCTCCCCTTTCCCTCCCTTCCTCCTCCCCTCCCGTCCCCTCCCCTCCCCTCCTTTCCCCTCCCGACCTCTCCTCCTCCTTCTCCTTCTTCTACTCTTTTGTTGAACATTATTTCTTCTTAAGAGAATAATTATTGTTGGGACCCCTGGTGCACGACCCCCCCGCCGCGCCTATGCCGCAGCCTCATTTTCATCATTTTCGTGAGGAAGTCTCAGGCAAAACGGGGGAGTCCGGATCCGGTTGTGTTGTTACGATCGGTTTTCCCTTGCAAAAATAAGCTAAAGTGGACATTTCTTGTTCTAACATAACCAAACTTCAAGAATCCCTTGCAACAAATAAGGTAAAGTGGACATTCGCGCGCGCAAAACGAAATCCTTCCAAAACCTTAGTTTTCGTAGCGATTTTAACATAAAAACATCAAACAACCAATGGTTTTTCAAAAAAAATTGTCAAATTTCATCCCGCGCGCTCTTGCGGATTCGTAGGAAACCCAACACTTTTTAAACATTTCTGTCAAACGGGCTTTTGCGAGCAACTTTTTCGAACTTCTGCGACAACGGTTGCGCACCTGCCAGGGCCATCATCCCTGTCAAATAATACCATGTGGGACACATTCGTTTTTTCTTCGCGCGCGCACGCCGTCGTCGTCGGCCGCGGGGCCCTGAATAGTAGCCACGGTCGTCCGCATGCCACGAAGTGAAGTGTCCGAACGTCATAGGGCGGGAAGCTGGGTGTGGGTGGTGGCGAAGAGTCGTTTGGAAATTTGGTAGAGCTTGAACCGGCCCCCCCACAAAGTGGGGGTATTGCCCGCCTCCTATGAAAACCCTGGCACTGGTGAGAACGGAGTGTCCCCACGTGCTAGTAATTGTTGTTGTTGTTGTTGTTGTTGTTGTTGTTGTTGTTGTTGTTGTTGTTGCTGTCGTTGTTCGGTAAGGCGTTGACACCGGCCCCGGCTTGTTGTCGAGATTTTCTTTTCTCTCAAAACTCAAGTGCTCATCATTAAGGGTAAGCAAAGCTCCAGCAACCGAGGGCTTGCCTCACGGGGCCGGAGAAGGGGTTGGCATTGGGGCGGCAGCGCAAGGTGCCTCACGGGGCCGGAGAAGGGGTCGGCATTCCTGGCGCGTGTCCAAAGGTTTCCTTCGGATTTCCGAGAATCCCTCAGGATTCCTTTGGATTTCTGAAGACTCCTCTGGACTCTTTAGGATCTCCAAGGATTCCGTAGGACCCCCCAGGATTCCTCGGGATTCCTTTGGAGCCATTCCGCGGGACTCCCGAGGATTCAGGATCCTCCAGGATGCCTCAGGCTCCTTCCAGAGTCCCCAGGATTCCTCAGGATCCCCCAGGAATCCTTGGGATCCCAAGTGATTTTTCAGGATTTCCCATGGGGTTCTCAGGATTCCGTTGGGCTCCTCATGATTTTTCACCATATCCTCGAATTCTTCAGGATCCCCATGGATTCCTCAGGACACTTAAGGATTCCTCGGGATCCACCATGTCTCCTCAGGACGCTTACGGACTCCTTAGGATCCCCCACGATTCGTCAGGATCCCTTCAGGGTACCCCCCAGGATTCTTCCGGATTCCTTAGCATTCTTCAGGATTCCCAAGGATTCCTCAGGACCCACAAGGATTCCTCAGGATTGCCCAGGCATCTTCCGGATTCATCAGGAGTTCTTCGGGTTCGTCAGGATTCCTCAGGGCCCGTCAGGATTCCTCATGATTCCTTCCGAGTCCCAAGGATTCTTCAGGATCCCCCAGGAATCCTTGGGATCCCAAGTGATTCCTCAGGATCTCCACGTGAGGTTCTCAGGATTCTGGTGGGCTCCTCAGGATTCTAGGAAATCTTCGGATTCTTCAGGATCCCCAAGGATTCGTCCGGACACTTCAGGACTCCTCAGGACTCCCCTGGACCGTCCCCCTCCGAATTCGTCCTATGGATTCTTCCTCCAGGATCCAGAACGATTCTTCAGGATCCCCCAAGATTCCTCAGGATGCTTAAGGCCTCTTTAGGTTTCCCAAGGATTCCCCATGATCCCTTCTGGGTACCCCTCAGGATTCCTCAGGACTTCTTCGCATTCTTCAGGATTCCACAGGATTCATCAGGATCCCCAAGGCTTCCTCTGGACTCTTCAGGACCCCTCAGTGGGACCCCGAAGGATTCTTCAGGATCTCCTTCGGGCTTCTCAGGATTCCGCAGGGCTCTTCAGGAATCCCCAGGACATGCGATGATCCCCATCAGGACATGCGAGGAATCCTCAGGACATGCGAGGATCCCCCAGGATCATGTGGAGGGAACAGCACAGATGACGGTGCACACGGGGCCGGAGTGTACGTTTGCCCACCGCGGCGCGACACCGCCACTGATGGCCCTTCGCAGGGCCGGAGGAGTTGTCGTCACAAAGCGTCTCAGGACGGGGCAGGAGTGTGCGCCCGCCCACCAGGGGAGTGACACCAGAGGCTCCGGCCCTGACCGGGGCCGGAGTGTACGCCTTTCCGTTGTTGTTGTTGTAGTTGTTGTTGTAGTTGTTGTAGTTGTTGTTGTTGTTGTTGTTGTTGTTGTTGTTGTTGTTGTTGTTATTGTTGTTGTTGTTGTTGTTGTTGTTGTTGTTGTTCCCCACATCCTGAGTGGGGTTCTTGTTTTCCCAGAACACCCTCTCCTTCCCACCCACCTCCCGCTCCATCTTCCATACAGCACAATATTATTCCTACCACACACACCATACCATACCATAGTTCCTACCATACCATACCATACCATACCATACCACACCATACGTACCATACCGTACCATACCATACCATGGCGTACCAAAGCATACCATACCATATCACACCAATGCCACACCGTACCATACCATACCATACCTCCAGTACCATACCATACCATATCATACCATACCGTACCATACCATACCTACCATACCATTCCATACCACTCCATACCGAAAGCCACACTACTTACATGGTTTCGTGCCCCTCCCACCCCTGCAGGGAGGCCCCGCCTGAGCGAGGAGGGTATCGGAAAACCATACTATTTACATGGTTTCGTGCCGCATCCCACACCTCCACGGAGGCCCCGCCTGAGCGAGGAGGGTATCCTTACATGGTTTCGTGCCCCTCCCACCCTTCCAGGGAGGCCCCGCCTGAGCGAGGAGGGTATCCGAAAACCATACTATTTACATGGTTTCGTGCCCCTCCCACCCCTCCAGGGAGGCCCCGCCTGAGCGAGGAGGGTATCCGAAAACCATACTATTACATGGTTTCTGCCCCTCCCACCCTTGCAGGGAGGCCCCGCCTGAGCGAGGAGGGTATCGGAAAAACCATACTATTTACATGGTTCGTGCCCCTCCCACACTCCCAGGAGGCCCGCCTGAGCGAGGAGGGTATTCCGAAAACATAACTATTACATGGTTTCGTGCCCCTCCCACCCCTCCAGGGAGGCCCCGACTGAGCGAGGAGGGTATCGGAAACCC